CAATGAGAAAAAGACATAGACAAAATCCCGTCATAGAATTCTCTCTCTTTCTCCTCCTTTTCCAACGAAGATCACTGGCGATCACTACATGTAACTTGATAAACAAGTTTACTCGAGGAAGCCAGTATCTTATATACATACTTACACTGGGTGTCTCAAGTAGACTGAATACTAATTGTTGAACGTGCTCTGCGAAATAAAGCGTGCTCGATCATACGAGCACTCGAAAAAAAACATTATTCTGTCTTGAACAGAATTTTATACATTTCCTTTCTATTTAAATTAAAACGTTAATATTCCCGTATACTTCGTGTTTGTATGTATTGTATAAGTGTTTATATTGTATATATTGTATTGTGTATGATAATTAATGAAAATAATTATTACTTGACAGTTTATTAACGTGTATCTTCGTAAAAGTTATAACGATAATAGCCATAATTCTCTTAAATTAGAAATTTTATCACAAATAGTTACATTACAAAAGTGAACATTTAAGTACCGACTATTTCGAAATGCCGGAATTATCTTGTCCATAAATCCTTTCGTAACTTTCAAATAACACATCAGCATACATTACTTGTTATTTCCTGAACTCTGAACTTTCACACGCGTGGTTCAAGACGCGTGGTGAAAGGCGTTAAGAAGAGGAATAAGACATTTTCATCTCAAGCGAGTCCGAATTAATTGTCGCACAAAAATCGATCTCAAAGATTAATGAAGCAATTAATTAAGATATATATTAGAAAGTATGTGTCATCAGTAGAGTGTAATATGTTCTGTCTCACGCGCGAGCAATTTATCTGCGAAAATGACAGTGATTCGAGCAGTGATTTTTTTTTTTGACGACTTTATTCGAATGATGATAAATCCGAATGACATCAATTTGTATTTGAATTCAAATTCCGTTATCTTAAAAAAGCGCTTTAAAGAAACGCCATAAAACAAATAAATTAAAGATTCGCTATTATTTTATCTACTGCGATAAAAGTTAAAAAAATAAAAATATTGATCAAATTCAATATCAAAAAAGAGATATTTGGAAAGAACGAATGATTTTTTTTTTAAAGAGAAGGAAATCGAAACTTTTTTTCGAATTGTGTACCATGCATACTTTTAGATCGACCAGCCGTAATCGCAGAAAGATCTCGCCAAGCACATTTGGCAACGGTTAATCATCTCTCACACGCGCAATTAAAGATATTAATTTCAACGCGACTGGATCCAGTGGTAAAATCGATTTTAGTGATCAATCGCGTAAACTCTCGTGCTAATAATTCGAGTCGCGATTGATTTATGAGCAGATACAATGTTGCTTGTATTCCTTGCATTTTCTTTTCTTTCCTCCTCGTTTTCTTTTTCTCTTTCTTGTATTGGCAATTCGTGTAACACGTACGTTTGTCTTTTACATCCTCGAAAAATAAATGCATCGGCCGCAGAGCGCATTCATCTTCATTTGACGGTCCCTGGTCCGGATATCACGCCGATGTTTTTGCCGGTAAGATTTTATATGTAACATTTGATTTACTTATTTTTGCTTCTTCTCCAGCGAGAGGAAAAGGCGCGAGAAAGATGAATGATTTTAAATAAAAAAAAAAAAAATCAGTGTGTTAACACTGACATCGAGATTGAAAAATTTGTTTTTCCAGTTTTTCAAGTTTTAGAAAAAATTATGTATAAAAATCAATAGAACTCACATAACTTTATATAACTATACTTATAATACAATAACATTTGCAGAGACTAGTATTTATAGAATTTATTTTATTATACATTACTTTATAACGTAATTTATATCTCTTATTTATTGCACAATTTAACCAAAAAGCGTTATAAAACAATGCTATAATAAATAATAAATAGCGTTATAATAAACAATAAATTTTTGAAAGAATTTAATTTAAATAATTAACTATAATAATAATAAATCTCAAGTAAAACGTTTCGCATACTTACTTGTATTATCATCTGTTGCGTCCAGCAACGTCGTCGTTCATATCGCACAGTCGGTGTACGCGTGCAAATTTTCACTAATACTATCCTCAAACTGTACTTTACGAATTAATATATGTGCAACAATAATTGCGAAGTAACGCTTGCGAGAACTGCTCTTGAGAGTCGATTAAAATTCCTCACGAATAAATTTGTCACCACAAAACTGGTCTAACATCCCGACTTTTCTTTTTCTAATTATCAAGTCTTTTTCTCGGCTACAATGTAAATCTTCTGATATCTAGATTATGAAACTTAACGGAGATCCTAGGAGTTCTTTTATCCTGCAAGGTCGTTGGCACCTAGACACTGGCGGTTTAAAGTGGGTTCCGCATCATTGGGAATTGCGGTATACACCCAAGTATTCCATACGAGAAATTCAATGCTTAACCTTATATCTCGATGTTTACAATTTACAGAAAGAAATATCTTCAATAAACAATTTATTTTCAAAAAAATACTATTACTAATGATAATAACGGTAATAACAGATTCCTTTCTTCTTATATATTAACAGATTTCCTTCTCGGTAAGAATTAACTTTCTTCTTCAATAATTTCTTTCTTTTGCAATCAATTTTTCCTCTCTTTAACAATTCATTTTTTTTTTTAATAATTAATAGCTCCTTTTTCTCCTTTAAATATCATATATATTTATTTCTAAATGAGAAGTATCATCGACAATAATCGGTATGCATCCCGACGTGAATTCCTAGCGCGCGCGTGTTAACGCCAACGTGATCTTACTGTCGAAGTGACAAAGTTCACTAATCGTTTTTCTTTTCTATGAGCAAAGAGAAATCCTTCTTTTTTCGTTTCCGTTCATTTTGCCAATTAAAAAGCGCCAATACGTACGCCACGATAGATAAAATTTTGCATAATATGCAACACTGATCAAAATCAAAATCTAAATATCGCGCAATTAAAGGAGAATTTACTAAGTATAAAATACTTAGTAAATTAAGTGCAATTCTTATTTAAATTGAGAGTCCAAATTAGAAAAAAATAATTATGATAATAATTATTAAATCGTGTAAATCATAGTTCGATCCTTTCAAAAAAATAATTATTTTTAATATTTAAACAGTTCATAATTATCATACATTTTTTATTTCATATTAATTTTAGACTGAATGATATAACAATCTAAACCGAATCATTATTTACTCAAGCAATTATCACTAATTAAGTCTCTATGTCATATAATATCAATCCTGTTCAATCACGGTATATCGGAAAATCAATATTTTCCGCTATTTAATAAGTTAATAACAGCCTTTTTGACATCATCAATTTGCCGTCACTCGATCAAAATCTCCACGTGATATTATTCACATTTAATTACAACTCTAGTTTTTTTATTTATAAAATAGATATCATATCCCGATTTTATCAATACGTCATTTCTGTAGAAACCAAAATTATCCCTAATAAAATTCACTCCAACATCAAAATCCACATTGTTCTTCAGTACTATCATCCGTTACCCGCGTTATTCTCAGCCTTGTTCCCCAATTAATAATTCAGTTACAATATTCACATCATCATTGTCATCACGAAGATGATTTGAAAACTTGACCTCGCTTGTCTTTTCTTCCAAAAAAAAAAATTTCGTTATTTCAACGCGATTTTCGAGGTTCTGATATCCTGAGGACGAGACGCGTTATCATTGGGAGCGGCCTAAGAAGAGGACTTAGAATTCGCGTAGAGTTGAGCGCGGGCGTAATAAGAGACTGCCCGCTGACGGCGGTAGCCGCGGTTCGTGCCCACGAGCAGCGGCAACACGGAGGAGAACAGGGCAGGGTGAGATGACCCCTCTCTCCTCTCGCGCACACCGGAAGGCTTCAAGTTGGGCCCCGGCCCCGGCCACCGCGTGCGAGCGGGCCCCGCCGGCGGAGACCCCGCGGCGAATCCAAGCGCTCGGTCTGTTCCCTCTCTCTTTCTTGTTCTCTCTTGTCGCGATGAGGCCCGCGATGCCGCGATCGGCAAGTGAAGATCGAGAGGGGTCCCCACGTGTCGGGAGAGTCTTATCGGCTACAGTCGATAATAAAACAGCCTTGAAGAGAGAGAAGCCGTATATATATATTGAAATATATTTTTTAGGAGCCATTTTATTTTAATTTTTCTCGTTCTATTTTATTTTTAATTTTATTTAGTTTGTAATATGTATTATGTGTATGCGTGGTACGTGAGAATGTTGTCTTTTAGATATTTTAAAAAATTATTTCATTTATAAAGATTATATATTTATTTAGCTTTTTATTTTTTGATTATTCTTTATATTTCTGGATTATTGCATATTTTAATATTAATATTTTTAAGATCGATTTCTTTATCATTTTCTCCATTATAGTAAATACTTGGTGACATAAAAAAATATTTACAAATTCTCAAAGAATTTGTTTCACAATTTAAAAAATATCTTTGCAAGAATACATATAAAATTTTGCTTTAAATAATTTTTTTTGGCACTTACCTTATCACTGTGCGTCAAATGATAGATCGAGCTTTTTTAATTTCTTTAACAGTTCCGGTTTAGTTGCCAGCGCCTTGTAGATAGACTCAATCAACACTTTAGTTTGATTGTAGGGCGGAAACGGCATGCCTTCAAGATTGTAGACGTAAACAACACCCTCGACATCAGCGACTGTCAGTTGATTCCCGTTGGCTGTAAAATTAGCTGCAACCAATCTCGCTCCGCTCGTTGAGATCGTTACGGAAGCAGGAATATGCGTTTTTCTACGGATGTCCCACACGCAAATTTGATCGTTAACAATGCTGGCGATGATAGTGGAACATGTAGGACTCCAACAGGCATTTCTCACGCATGCCATCGTTGTCGATAGGGTAATTAGCGGTTCGGTGAGACCTTCGGCCCAAATTCTGATGCACCAATCAGCGCCGCAGGTCAAAAACAGCTTTTGGCAAAAGGGCGAGAACTCAAATGAATAAATTGGACCGTCATGTGCTAGAAAGCTATCCGTGTGTTGACGCAAATAGTTCGTAGAGCATCGATAAATGCAACCTTCATCAGAACCGACGAAATAAATATTGCTAATAATGGGATGTTTTCGAAGAATGAGGGCGCCCGGTTGACGACTAATGGGCACGTCATAAGCCACGCAATGATCAGTTCTAGAAATTCCGCTTAATTTGCCTTCAATTCTATACAAACGCATAATCTCTGTGGCAATAAAATCCTCGCCGAAACGGTAGCAGTATACCCGACCATCTTGATCGCTAGTGTAGATCTGCTCTTGACGGTCAAACTGTTCGTCACCGCTCCACCATTGCACCTATAATATAACAAAGATAAAAATACTATCGATTAATTGATTTGCTCGCACATTTCATAATTAATGATAAATAAATAGATTTGTAAAATTCGTACCTGCCAATGTGGCGAGCAAGCTGCTAATGCCTCTTTACGACTTTGCCTGATAACGTTTATCTTATTTGCACTGACATCAATAATCTTCACATTTCCATCATAAAAACCGATCGCTAAAAGATTCGGCCGTTCCTTACTCCAATCTATGTCGGACAACAAATTGTCGAAAGTATATTCGCGATCAGGATGACTAGGATTCTTTGCACACCAAATCAACAGAAGTCCATCCATCTTGTTGGACCCGGTTTTGGCGCCATATGCGACAGCGAGGACATTTGCGTTCGCCGGACTCCAACGAAACGCGACCACAGGACGATTGCGTGCCATTTCGCATGCGAAAGTCCATAATAAACCTAATCGATAATCGAATTTCAAATCCAAGGCGCACGGATCGTGCTTGGTCAAACCAGTAAAACGCTTTTGTGCCTCCGCGAAAACATTATTTGCGATTATACGTTCCATCACATGTGCCGCGTTCAGAAAGCGTGTCTCCCGACAGATACGAGATAGTTGTTCTTCAGGACTTGGATCAAGAATCCTTTCAGGTTCGGGGAGTTTGTACCGGAGTTCCTGTCACGAACACATGAACATAAATTTTCAAAAAGACCTATTTTATAAAGATCTTTTTACATTAAAAAAAATTCTTCAGTTATATAAATACGCGTGCAGTTTTCGTATACTTTTAGTTTAGTTCTTTTTATATTTTCGAAACATGTGAAAAGATAAAAAATTTATAACTCTATTATTCAAAATTGTACGATGAAAATAATGTAAGAAGAGAAATTACAAAGAAATTTATATTATAGAAGTTTTGTTGATTAAAAATAAAGATGTAAAAAAGAATAGCAAAAAATAAGTTGGATTGAATACGAATATATGATCTTATAAAATATTTATTTAATTATAATAAATTCAATTGATGTAAAAAAAGCATGACTGCATTTAACAAACACATTTAATAATATACAATGATTTTTACCTGTGCTTCTTGTATCCGACGCATTGATTCCTTCGTGTGCACAATTAATAGTCCATTCTTCTCTACCATCAATTTTGGTGCCGCGTAGGTGTCATGAATCACCCAATTGTTTACGAACATCCCCTGATTCTTGCGGGGCCTCAGACCACAGTAGGTGCCGCGTGATTTCGTCAACACACATACCGTCTGTGTCTCGACGTTTAACAACTTCCGACTGGAACCTGGTCCCACTGTCACATATTCATAATTCTCGTTTTCCTGTTGAACTGCCTGTCCCTCAGGTGTTCGCAAATCTTCAGTCATTTGCGGCATTTCGAACACGAAAAACGTCTGCGTCTCCTTCAAAGTGATTGTCACAGTTTCCGGACGTGTCGCAAATATTGCCAAATCGTCACTATAAGCAAATATCTTCACATTACTTCACTCCGTCGTTTCAATATATTATATGCATTTTTAAACTTTTATATTGTTAAAAAAATTTAGATCAATTAATTTTCTTATAATTTCTCCTTTATATTTCTCAAAAAAAAAAAAATAGAGAGACAAAAGATTAGTAACAATATTGATAAATAATACAAAAGAAAAGTATATATATTTCAAATAAATATATAAAATAAAGTATATATATATATATATATATATATATATATATATTTCAAAACTGAATTTCCGATTTGAAAATCATAAACGAGATATTAGCTATTACTCAGGTAGAAAAAATGGCAATGGCGCGGCATCCTCGTCTTCCTCCATAGGCATAAGCCCACAAATCTGCGTCGACATCAAACTCTCCATTTGCAAATCGGATGGCATCGAGGGAGTTCTAAGAATGGAGGAACTAATTTTGAGACCACTGAGCGATGGAGATGTCAATGGAGATCCGTTTCCAGTCTGGAATAATCCGATGGTCTCAAAGGCGGTCATCTGATTCTCATCGATAATGCCAAAAGCTGGATGGACCAATGGTTTCGGTGTGACGTCTACGTTTTCGTGAATGACACGAAGCGCCTGTCGTTGTTGAAGAAGCGCCGAGGCGACATTTCGCTCGCATCCCATTTTCCGTGCTCGTCCAAGAACGTTGACCTTTATCTTGGACGACGTAACACTGGGAGATATCCTTTGCGGAGATTCGAAATCGCTGACGGCTTTCATCCTGCGAGCGAAACCGTAAACAGAATTGCACACGAATCAAATCTTTATGAAACAACGTTTGAGACTAGTTAAAGGTACGGTTGAAATATCTCACCGCCATTCTCAGCGGTTCCTTGGAGACGTTTAATCGATTTTAGAATATTAAAGATCGTAGAGAGAGAAGAATAAAGGAATTCCTTCTAAAAGGAGACAAAAAACGTAAACAAATATTAAATTTATGGGAGAAGCTGATAAAATGATAAAAAATTGCATATCACAACATTTCTTACCAGGAACACATCAATTTTATCTTCGGAAAAAAGATACATATTCAACCGATCTCTCTATCACTATTGCATTTAAAAAAATTTCAGAGGATTGGAATTCAACCAATTACAATAAAGTGAAGATAAGATTCGCATTATCTGATTGGTCGAAATCTAATCTCCAATTCGCAATCGGTCTTCAATGCACAATCTGATATGGGCTTAAGAGGAAAATAATTGAATGTGGATGCAGGTCCACTTGCTACACCTGTGACAGCGTTTCTGCATTTGAAATATCGACTTTGAACATAGCTATTTCAACTTAGATAAGCTAATTTTATACACTCGATTGTAACGGTCAAAAATCAAAATTACCTTACATCCATTCATTTCACTTGTACTTCTTTGCATTTGAAACAAAATATAATATATCCACATTTTGATGTTAGAGAAAAAGAGTGAAACTCTCTCGTCACATTCTTCCATCCGTATACTCTAATGATAGAATCAAAGAAATGCACGCGCGTGTGCAATTAAGATCAGAAATATCAAAAAGATAATTAAAAAAAAATTGATAAAGTAGTATATATCGATTAAATATTATTAATTTTCCGCGTGCGCCGTACACTCGAGATCAAAATGCTATTCCATTCTGACAGCATGAGTGAGCTGCACCTACACCGAGCTTCCTCGTCCCTTTTTTCCTCCTTCGAGCCAATCAGCCAATCACCGAAAAAGAAAACGCAGCGAGACTCGTAGAGGGAGAAACTCGGTGCAAATGTGGTTCTCGCGACTCGCGAGTACACCCGAACGGGATGATATTTTTGTTCTCCACTGTACACAGCGTTCCTACGTAATACTCCGCGCTGTGATCAATAAAATAACTTGAGATAGTTTAATGATATGTCGGAAAACGTGTCGTGAAATCTACACGCGGCGTAGGTAGGCAACGCGCAAGCAGAGAGAGAGAGAGAGAGAGAGAGAGAGAGAGAGAGAGACGTAGGAGA